AAACATGTTCTTGCATGAGGCCCATTGTGTAAAATATATTTTAAAAACCAAATAAATCAACACGTACTGCAAAAAATGGAAATTAGCTGAAACGTCTTCTCAACCTGGTATATGGTACAAGTTGTTTACTTAAAAAAGTAAAAGTAAAGTAGTGCAGTAGCAGATTTCTTGAAATCCTGCACAGTTTGAGTTGTTTTAGACACAAAGTGACCAAGTTCTAGCTCAGTTTATGTGTCATAAATCCTCCCAGACTCCTGTCTGCTGCAGGTAAGACACTGACGATTTATATAAKTTCTCGACTGAATTTTAAAAGGTTTGAGTTGGTGGATTGTTTCTAAACAAACCTAAATATGATGTTGTACATTTGTTGTAAGAGTATTTAGTATAACTGAAAGTGTGGTTTAAGTTGGGAACTCTGGTTATGAGACGTGGACTRGTGAAGTGACGTGATTGGAGCCTGCTGGAATGGATTCACTGCATGAATACCTGCATGTCTGACTGAAGCTCTTGGTAACGTGCTGGTTATTCAGGAGCAGGAGCTGTGGCGACAATGTGCAACAGAAAACTTGTTGAGTCTTAAAGGATGTTCTGGTCTCTGTGCTGTGTCTGAGATCTGAAGCTGCTCATTTTGGTGCATTTTGAAGATTTAAATTCTCGTTCAGTGTTAACTTCCTGCGTTGTGAATTATATTAAAGTAAAGCTTAGGTTTTGTCAGATCAGGGGAAACTTAAGAAATTGTCTATCATCATTCCACCTTCCTCCTGTTTGCTTCTCCTGCTTTTTTCTTCCTCTGTCATCATTACATCTGAAGCTGAGAGTGGACGTTTTCTGCGTACCAATTTTTTTGTGGTTTTCTCGTGATGACGACACAATATGCCATCATCACGACATAACCATGAGCGTTTTTTCATGATAACAAGTTGTGGTTTTTGTTCCAGGAGTATGATTCTCGCTTGGGGTGCGAGAGGTCCCGGGTGCAAATCCCGGACGAGCCCCCATTATATTACGACCCAGTGGCTCAAAGGGAAGCAACATAAATGGGACAACCAGAAAAGAGGTGGAGTTTGACTAAAAATGTTTATTAAAACTAAAAGCCTAGTTGTGAGGGGACACCAGCAAAACTGCACCAATGCTGCTGAGGGAGGATGTGGCCCACTTAAATTGGCTGTTCACACCTGCAGATGGTTGATGATTACTGGTTAGAGTCTACCTGGAAAGAGATACACACAGTCTCGTAATAGTTTTCTTCTTGTGCATCTTTCGGAGCAACAACTTGGTTCCCTCAGCTGATATAGATTTTTTTTATATCATTAGGATCACTTAAGTGTAAACGCCCGTTGAGATGCGGTCGAGCCAGCCGTCTCTTTAAACGACGAGGGCAGATATGAAAGTTATCTGTGCGAAACAAACAAATAAATAAACAAAAAAAACTTCATCTGCGACTGAGGTTACTGAAGAAGACCATAATCTAGACAAAACCATCTGGGAATTACCTCGTTATCTCGAGAAAACGTTTGTTGTTTCATGATAACTAAAACCATGGGGAAAAAATTGTCTGTGGAAAATGTCCGCTCTCGCCTTCCGTACATCCGTACGGTTTTCTTATTATTTTTTCCATGTTTTATTTTTGTTCTCCTCAAATTCCTTCTTTGATTCCGACTTTACGAAGTCACTGCTCTCACCTGCGTATAATTTAAAGCTGATCAACTTCCAACGTTACTTTTGTTTTTCTTTTTTTGTGTGTGTTTTGCTTCTTCATCCTCAAACAGTCCGATCTGAGGGGTGATGAAAGGGCTTAGGCCGATTATGTTGCTGGATTTCTGCTTTTCAAAGTCCGGGTTTGGGACCTGATCCACTGCCTTTTTGTGTTCTGTTGAGTTGACCTTGAGCTTACCCAGTTTATGGTCCTATAATGTTAAAACACGCAGTCTCTAAATCAAATATCTAATATTCCTTAAAGGAATGTGTTCTGCTCCGTGTGTCGTGCCAGAGCTTTAGTTTCTGATGTTGAAAAATAACTTGTTGACTTGGCCAGCTTGAAAATAACTTTGTGCAATCTTGTCCAATATATACTGAGAGTATGTGTAACCAATGATTCTCAGCTACATTACATTTCAGCTCAGTATCTGTWAAACAGGGTTATAGTTGTGTTTTTGTTGTCGATGTTGATTAGTTGTGGGCGGTGCTTCTAATGTTTAATTTCTGAAAGTTTCATTAAAATCAGAGTTGTAAAGTCACTAAGTACAAGTGTAAATTTTGGTTATTTGTACTTTACTTGAGTAATTATTTTTCAGTGTACTTTTTACTTTTACTCATTACATTTTTACACAATTATCTGTACTTTCTACTCACTACATTTTTTAAAAAGATAAGAAATAGAAAGTCGTTACTCCTATTTTATTCCGTTATTACTTTAAAAAAATACTATCCTGATAAATAGTGTCTCCTGGATAGAGTGAATTTAATTGTGTTTGGATGAGAAGTATAAATATATACCATTCTGACACACTATTAGCT